TTAGTAGATCAGATGTGAAAGGTGAAGCCCAAAGAGGTCCCAGTGGTGTAGTATTATGAGCTGTTGCCCTCAGAACTGGAAGAGGCTTCAGTAGAACCACAGGTACATCTCTCTCTCTCCCTTTCTCCCTCTCTCCCCCTCTCTCTCTCCCCCTCTCTCAATCTCTCTCTCTTCAAGGACAAGTGAACATCAAAACCATTATCCAGGATGAAACAACAAAGATCCATGAGTACATCAGGAGATGGCCACAGTCCACAGTCCACATGCTTAGTGAATCCTTAAGGCAGCGGAAACCTGAGAAAGAGCAAAAACAAGAACTATCACAGACGGAAAAGGCTGTAAAGCCTCCTGCAAAGCATATATCATCGGCAGATAGAAGAAATGCTGACACTGAAAAATCCTACCAATGGCTGGATAATACCTGGCTGGAAAAACAGCAGAGAGGTACTAATCATAGGAGCAAAGGAACAAGTTTTAAGCACAAGATTGATAGAGGCTGTGGTCAACCACACCAGGCAAGACCTCAGGTGCACAGTCTGCACCTGGGGTCGTACCTGATTGTATCTTGCAGGGTATAAGATATAACGTGTATGTAGTATTCAATTTGTCTCTTTACTTTCTAGTATAACTAAAGTATGTAAGTCATGTAACTATCTACTATTTCCCAACACACAAAGGACAAGAGAAAACAGACAAAACTGAACTCAACTGGTCTGCATTGTTGAGAAAAGTATAAGACACAATATTTAAACACAGATGTGACAATAATTAACCCTTACCTGTTAGGAAGACACGCAGATAAGCAAATTCATTATGTAACCATTAAAAAGCATATTAGCCTTTCAACTATGTGTTTTTTAACAAGCAGCAGTCAATGCATACATAAACCTATTTGTGCACGACGGACAAAAACCTATCAAAAATATGGATAATATTTTATCTGACCAAAACGTAAAATTTTCACAAATATCCAAATATTTTTTTGTAACAAAGGTAGGACTGTGAAAGTACTGAACAATTTGTAATGTAGCTTGGCACTCAGAAGTTTAGGCGACATATTCCTTCACAATTTATTGATCTGATGACCAAAGTGTTAAATCAAGCTTATGACCATAGGTGAAGATAAGGACGCAGCTCAGAGAGTAAATTGAGATTTTTGCTTTTACACTCAGCTCTGTCTTCACTTCAAACTGGGAGTTTAAGATCTTCTGAACCAGGGCCTCTGTCAGATGTCTCCAG